CCTGAACAAGGTTCCCTGGCCTCCATTTCTCGTTTTGTAAAGTGAGTTGGAGGTGTCAGGTTCAAAAACCTACAGGGGCTTCCCAGCTCTGGCTTGTTCTGGGTTGGAGGCCATGGCCCCTTCTGGCCACTCTGGGTTTTCCCTTACTCTGCATCTTCTAACCTCAGCACTGCTGGGCCATGGCCCCCCAGATACCCTGTCTCGACAGGAGAAGGAATGGTACTTCTTTTGAATCTGGGAGCCTGGACCCCATAGCCCATCCTGCAGTATCTAATCACCCCTGAGCCCCCAGGCCTGCCACCTTAGCTGGAGAAGCTGGCACCCTAGCAAGTTGTTATGGATCCAGAGAGCTCCATACTCCTGCCTGACTGTCCCCTAATCCCTCCCATGCCTTCCATACACAACCAGAGACCCCAGAACCTGGGACTTCCCTCTGCTCCCAGACCGTGAGCTCTGAGAGCCTCTCACCTCACCAGGTGAACCCCAGTGCTGAGCCAATGGGTTGGGGCTGATGGCTGCAAAGGAGGGAGGATGGTCCCAATGTCAGTAATAAGTCAAAGGGAAAGGACTGACCTGGACACTAAACTACTGGGTTCCAGCCCCTCCACTCCCACCTTGATATGTGAGTTGGGGAGGTCCCTTCTGTGCTGTGGCCTCAGTTTTCCCATTAGTGCACTGTGGAGGAAGGAGATACAGTGTTCCCAAGCCTGGGCAGTGCTGATTCCAGCAATGCAGTTTCTTCCAGTTTAGATGCTGCTTGGTTTCTCATTCCTCTGGTCGTTTTTGTATTAGTTGAGGTGAGCAGGGGTGGGGAACCATGTCAGGGGTTATAGGCAGAGGAGGGAGCAGATGAGGGAGCTCTCAGGGACAGAAGGCTGTACCCAGGACAGCCTGAAGCACAGGAGCTGGCTGCCAGTACCCAGTTGGTCTCTGCAGGGAGACACAGAGAAGGTCATCTGTGAAGACCTCTGCATGTGGAGGAATCACTGGACTGGACATCTGTGGCAGCCAAGGAGTCATCTGAGAGGTTCATGGGGGAAACCCAAGGAGCTTTGAAGGCTCCAGTGCAGGATGTCCGTGTGGGGCTGGATTTAATGGTGCCGGCCCCACCACAACTATAGCTGGAACTGTTGAAGCCACAGGATGCAAGGCCCTGCTCAAGCAGAGAACAGAGACCACACCCAAAGTTAAGGTCAGGGTTCAGCCTGGGCTGGAGAGCAGAGGGCAGGGAAGCAGCCCTTCAAGGGATGTTCAGAAGCCCAGGGCTGGACCCAGACACAGAGCATCTGGCTGGGCTGTGCTGGACCAGACTCGGGAGAAAGAGAAAGAAATGGCTTCACCTCTCACTGGCTTGAGCCAAGGAAACACACAAAGGCCTTGGTCCAGGGAGGAATGGAAAGGAGGTTGGAAGTTAGCAAATCAGAACTAAAGAGGGTCCCAGCAGCCTGTAGGGCAGATCCTGTGGTTTAGGAATACAGATGCTCTGAAAGAGGGCAGATGGGAGGGAGGCGGCAGAGATATGAGGTCCTGTAGGGTGTGTGGAGAGGCAGAAGATGGGGAAAACAGGGGAGAGTCTGGGATATGAAAGGGTGGGGAGAAGAAAAGGAGGTAGCCGGGCACAGTGGCTCACACCTGTAATCCCAGCACTTTGGGAGGCCAAGGTAGGCAGATCACTTGAGGTCAGGAGTTTGAGACCAGCCTGGCCAACATGGTAAAATTTCACCTCTACTAAAAATACGATTTAAAAAAAATTATCCACACATGGTAGCACATGCCTGTGATCTCAGCACTTTGGGAGGCCAAGGTGGGCAGATCACTTGAGGTCAGGAGTTTGAGACCAGCTTGGCCAACATAGTGAAACTCCATCTCTACTAAAAAAAAAAAAAAAAAAGCCGGGCGCGGTGGCTCAAGCCTGTAATCCCAGCACTGTGGGAGGCCGAGGCAGGTGGATCACGAGGTCAAGAGATCGAGACCATCCTGGTCAACACGGTGAAACCCCGTCTCTACTAAAAACACAAAAAATTAGCTGGGCATGGTGGCGCGTGCCTGTAATCCCAGCTACTCAGGAGGCTGAGGCAGGAGAATTGCCTGAACCCGGGAGGCGGAGATTGCGGTGAGCCGAGATCGCGCCATTGCACTCCAGCCTGGGTAACAAGAGCGAAACTCCGTCTCAAAAAAAAAAAAAAAAAAAATAGCTGGGCGTGGTGGCTCATGCCTGTAATCCCAGCTACTCAGGAGGCTGGGGCAGGAGAATCGCTTGAACCCGGGAGGTGGAGGTTGCAGTGAGCCAAGTTTGCGCCACTGCACTCCCATCTGGGCAACAGAGTGAGACTCCATCTCAAACAAAAAAAAAGAAGAAGGAGAGATGATGAGACAGAGAAGGCAGGGCCACCAACACCGGAGGAGTGAGAAGTGGGGCCAATTTCACGACAGAACAAGTTATGAGATGAAGAGGAAAGGATGGGGACAGCTGAAGGGTCTGGGGAGATGCTGTCAGCTGTGGGAAGCACTGCAGCTGCTCTCAGGGACGGCAGGTGAGCGGGGCCCCAAGGAATAGAGCTGACCCTCGCACCACCCACAGACGCCTCTGTCGTCAGCTGGGAATGCGGAGCCCTGATGAACCGCAAGCATGTTTTAAATGAAAGTCTTCCAAGCATCAAAATATTGAAGCCGTTGTTGTCTCACTGCGGGTTAGTTGCTATGGAGAAATTCAGCCCCGGCAGCCACTCTAATCAGACGCCCATGGGAGACAGGCCCCGAATGGGCTGGTTTAGGGCTGGCATCAGGCAAGAGGTTCCCCACCCAGAGCCAAGAAGGGGGAGGCTTGAGTCAGGACAGCTCCCCACCTCCCAGTCACACTTAACTGAAAACCACCCAACCTGAGTCTTCTCCATTGTTGGAGGTGCAGAGCTGATAAGGAAACTGAGGCCCAGAGAAGGTGAAAGACCTGCCAAGGTCACAGAACAAGTCGACGGCATGGCTGAGACCACATCCCAAGTGCCCTGCTCCAGGTATAGATGTCTTCCCAGCACGTAGTCTGTTTCTATTCCAAGACCTTGTTTGCCAGGCATTTCAAAGCTGGCCTGGTCTCAGGAGTCAGTCAATTCCCTAAATACGATGACTTCCCAGAGTGGAGCCACGCAGGCCAAGCAAGAGCCGGGGACTGTCCTGGACTGTGGAGCAGGACACTGGTGCTTCTCCCCGATTCCCATGCAGCTCAGCTGAGCATGGCTGGGGAGGGTTTTTTCTGCTCAATTCCAGACCAACTCCACCTTCCCATGCCCATACACCTGAGTGGGTGCTCACGCCTCTGAGCTTTCGCTCAGGCAGATCTCTGCCTGAAATGCCCACCCCACTGGATGCTCCTTTCTCCATCCCAGCATCAACAGTGCCCCTTGCTATGTCTCGTTGGGTTGGCCATAATGAGATGCAGAGGACACTTCCCCACCCGCTGTCTCTCAGTTGAACACCGGCAACAGTCTTGCCAACACTCTGGATCTGCATCTATGAGGCTGATTTTTTTTTTTTTTTTTT